CCCTTACAGGATCCCTTACAGGATCCCCTTGAAGGATCCCGAAAAACGAGGCCCTTCTTGGATCCCTTCTCGCTCTCCTTCTTGGAACCCATTCAGAACCCTAAACCCTAGACCCTAAACCCTAAACCCTAAACCCCTAAAACCCTAAACCCTAAACCCTAAGCCCCTAAATCCCGAAATCCCTAACTCCCCAAACCCATTGAGAAGAGTCGCCTTTGGCCGCTGCGGAGGGGCTGAGCCACTTCCGCACCATGCAGCCGTCGCTGCGCTCGTCGTTCGAGGACGCCTCTGCTCTGGGCCCCAAAGCCCGAAACCCTAAAACCAAGGGTTCAGGGTTTGGGGTTTAGGGTTTAAGGTTTTCTGCTTTAGGGTTTAGGGTTTAGGGTTTAGGGTTTAGGGCTTGGGGTGTAAGGGTAGTTCTCGACATTTGGGTTCCCTTCTAGGTCTCCAACATAGTACGGCACCCTTACAAAACGGACCACCAAAAGGGACCCTACTTTAGAGAACTACCCTTAAGGTTTCGGGCGACAGCATTTCAGGTTAACATCTGGGGGGTTTTGACCTTTTAGGTTTGGGGTCTCCCCCTAAAAAAACCCTAAACCCTGAACCTTAAACCCTAAACCCTAAACCCTAAGCTCTAAACCCTAAACCCTAAACCCTAAACCCTAAACCCAACTGACTGTTCGAGTTTCGGGCTTGGCCTCGAAGTTCTGAAGCTTCTGTTCCTTCTGTTGATGATATAAATCCTGGACCCTGAATTATGGAAATTATGGTATATTCCTTATGGCTGGGGCTCAAGGATGAACTTTCCGAATTCAGGGCTCATAGCTTTGGAGCCTCGGTCTTCTTGTTCGGTCATCGGGGTTTAGGGTTGGCGTTTGGGGGGTTGGGGGTTTAGGGGTTGGGGTTTCGGGAATTCGGCGCGTGTGAGTGTATCTCGACTGCTGCTGAAGGGGTGCTTACGTGGTAGTAACCCTTGACCCCAAACCCACAATCCTAAACGTCCCAAACCCCTAAACCCTGACCCAAACCCTAAACCCTAATCCCCCAAAGTCCAAAGCCCCAGACTCTGAATCCCTAGAGCAGCGAACCCTGAACAATGCTTACTTAGCCGCTGATGTCTGAGGAGCAATTGCCCATGGCTCAAATCGCTTGATGATAGCACAGCCCTGAACAAATGCGAAGGCCCCTCAAACCTGAGAAGTCCCATGTTTTGAAACCCAAAATCGCCATATATCTATCTATCTATCTATCTATCTATCTATCTATCTATCTCTCTCTCTCTCTCTCAGGACCGCCCTCTTGATCTCCTTTCCAAGCCCCCTAAGTTTCAGTCCCAGCAGCACCCTCCGGGTCTGAACGCCCTTCATCCAGGAGCTGACCATCCTTCCGCGCTTTCAAAGAGTTCATCGCGGGACGCCGCTCACGGATCCGTCGGCAAGAAGATAAACCCCGCAACCGCAAACACAAAGGCAAAGACCCAAAAATATCCCGAAGATGTATTCAGAGACATAAAACACCTCAAATGCCCAAACCCCCAATAATCCAGTACCCCAAAATCCTGAAATCTCGCGCCCCGAGAAAAGCCTAGAGACTCGCAGACCTTTGAGCCGAAAGCAAGTCGCCGTGTGCTTGAGAGTAGGGGCCCCTTATTGGGGTTAGGGTTCAGGGTTTAGGGTTTAGGGCTTAGGGTTTAGGGCTTAGGGTTCAGGGTTCAGGGTTTAGGGCTGAGGGTTCAGGGTTTGGGGCAGTTTAGGGTTTGGGGTTGGTGGTAATTTGGTGCTTTGTATTTAAGGGTTTGGGCTCGTATACTCGCATACGCAAACTCGGATGACATCTACTAAATCGACACATGCAAGCCACTAGGATGCTTGGATGCGCTGATGGACAAAACCCCGCATTATCTTCAGGACCTTAAGCTTGTGGTAAACTCCGTACGATGTGTAATGATGCTGTTTGTCCACCAGCAGTAGCTCAACAACACAATGAAACGAAGCCATCTCTCTTAAAGCTCGCCGGCTGAGTGTTGCTTCTGAGGGGGTTACTTAGTTCTACTTCCTTATAATAGACAACTTAGACCGACAGAAAACAAACAGACCGACGGAAGGACAAACATACAGAGAGAGAGAGAGAGATAGAGAGATAGAGCGATATTCAGGTAGATAGATAGATAGATAGATCGACAGATAGACAGCTAGGTAGGTAGATAGATAGATAGATCGATAGATAGACAGATAGACATACAGATGGACGGATGGATAGCTGGATGGATAGATAGATAGGTAGGTAAACAGATATGCGGGTAGACAGCCGGACGGGTAGACAGATGTTTGTAAATACCAACATGCGACACTTTGGCACAGAAAGAAAGCAACAAAATCCAGGAGCGTAAAGTGCGCCCTAGCAGACGCCGCTTTTTGCGATCGGCGTTGCATCCTCACCACCTCGAAGGTTGCAGAGATCGTGCGAAGGGGTGGAGCTGCCGGGGTCGGGGTCTTACAAGGAGTGCGAAACATGGTTTTTCTAAGATTTTGTCGTAGTTCAGGGCTTTTTTTTTTCAGCGGGCGAAATTGTGCGTGTCGCGCAAGCAGAATTCGCATGCAATGACGGAAAAGGCGCACTTGCCGGCGCAGCCGTCGCGCAGCTAGAGCTGCAAACAAAAGTGGAAAACTGGTAGCGGAGCACTAGCCGGGATTTAAAGTTGCCCACCAAGGTTGAGGCCCATGAGACTTGGTGGCCGGACGCCAGCAGTGTGCACCTGAAGCGGAGGAGGCTGGCGTAACATGCCAGTCGGCTTCCATGTAAACATGTCGGCAAGCAGAGCTGCGGCGGAGGTGCTCCGCAAGCCGCAGCTGCGTCCAGTGTTCGACACGGCAGCGCTCGCAGACGGTGCCAACTGCGAGCGTAGTGTGGCAAGCGCGCAAACCGTGGCGACGGGCCCTGTGCACCGCAAGTCTGCGTTTGCTGATAAACCCAGCACCACATTCCTCGCAAAGCCATTGCAGCGTCGCGCCTTGTGTATGCACAATGTCTGCAGCGCTGCAGGGCTGCCTGGGGCCCAATGATCCCCGAGCCGGGATCCGTTTCCGCACGCCGGCCTTGAGGTATCGCTTGCAGAGAGCGCGCAAAACACGGACGTCAGTGCACAATCCGTGAAGCGCCATCTCGGCAGCTGGAGCACTTGCGGGTAGAAGCCCAATCGTCTGTGCCGCGCCGGTAGCATCTGCCCACCATACATCATCCTGGTGCAACTCCTCAAGGACATGATGAAGCCCAGCAATATGCAGCCGGACTAAAACACGGGCCTGCTCAACGCCGAGGAGCTCTGAGGGAAGAGGAAGCCGCAGCGCCCCAGCTATCTCTTCATTGGTATATCCTTGAGCCGAGAAACCGAATGTGGGCCTGAAGGCACTCCGGTACAAGGAGAAAATAGTTTCCTCAACGGCATGCCGTTCTCTGGCAGTGCGAAGCGACCAGAGCCCCGAGCCATAGAGGAACTTTGGGAGCACACGTCCACGCAGAAGCTCTACCTTCTCGTTGAAGTAGAGATACGGGTTGGACAGTAGTTTGGCCTTGATGGGCCGGAAAAGTTCCCTCGCAAGCTCTCTCCTGCGGAGAATGTCCGGCAAAGACTGTCCGTCAGATCGGACAATGGAGCCCAAATGGGTGTACTGCTCCGCCAAACAGATAGAACCATTGACATGGCAACCCTGGAAAGGGATCTGTGGAACCTCAGGAGTCAGCAGGGACCGCTTGACTGCTGCCGAGCCCGTGCCATAGCAGGCAATCAATGCCTCGGTCTTTCCTCGTCCAAGGTTGGCCTGCAAGCCATGGCGTGTCATGGCGTCAAGGAAGAAGGCAGTGGCCTCAGACACTGCTTCTGCAAGTGCTGTGGGGCAGGGCACTTGTAGAAGTAGGCACACATCGTCGGCCCAGGTGGGCGAGAACCCGGGATTATCAATGTCATGGCCCGTAACCGTGGCGCGGAAGCCTCGGGATATCAAGAAGTCTCTGGTCTCCCTGAGCAAGCCGGCAAAGACCAAGCTGAACATTGCATCAGCCAGCGGCGCGCCCGGCGCGGTCCCACTGGCCGCGAAGTAGGCGTGGGAGGCATCGGATCGTGTCACGTACCATGTGCGGCACAAGTGTTTTTGGAGGAGGATGCGGGTAGCTGGTGTGGCTGCCAGCGCCTGCGCCACGTCACCTTTCTGCATAGACGCAACAAAATGGTCGCGCAAAGCAGGATCAGGGAAAAGAAGGGCAGCACGTTGGCGAAGAAAGGAGACATCATTGCGCTGTGAATCAGCGAGGGCAATGGCATCCCTCGCAATCGCATAGTAAGCACTCGCCGC